TCATTCTTTGCAATTCTTGGCAATAGCCATCTGTCGTCACTGTTATGCCATGCAGTAAGAAGCAGTAATGTAAACTGCCTCACTGATCCACCAGACAGTCACCATCATCTTCCTATGGGTAATCTTTTTTAGCGCACTGATGAGGTACTATACCCGGGTCAACCAAATGAAACGAACGCTTACGGTTGTCATACAGGATCCACTTTTTATAACTGAATTTTAGATCCAAATAGCATGGCTTTCAAATAAAATCTATTTGAATTTCGAATTGCGTGCCAGTTTTCATATAATTTATTCTGAAAACGATGGTTTTAATATACTTAATAAAGGTGATATTTAATAAAAAATAATATAAATATAACCCGGAATAGAGGATTACAGTAAAAAAATAAACACAACTCAAACCACTTTGTAACAGAAAACAAAGTGAAACTTTCATTAGTAATCCTGTTAGCCGCGGCCAATCAGAACGCTTCGGGCAAGCTGTTATAAAACATCCTATTAGCATGCTCGAATAAGCCCATCTAATGAAATTATAGTAGTATTAAGAGCTGTTTTTGTATCAAATATTGATAAACTAATTGGAATTATGAGGTAATAAATATACACATTACTTTAAAAAGCAAACATACGTTTGATATAATTCCTTTACTTTGGTAATTTCTATTTAAAAGTCCATGCATTTTTAAAAATATGCATTCATAATATTTGACATGTAAAAACTAGTTTTTCGGAATATTACGAAGACTTTTATTCAAATATTTTGTTCTAGCGTAAGCAATATGACTCTTCTATTTAAATATGATGTATGAACGATCGATAATAGTCTTTAGTAAATTAAATTGATGGCCGGTTTTGAAACTTAACTATTTGTTGATTACAGTCCATGGGATTAACCTACATATCGCGATTGAACAATTTCATTTTAAACTTGCTATTTTATACATTAATTACAGTCTGAGTTCTCACAGATATTAATTTTGATTTGGCTCCTCGCGTAATAAAACAAATATTGGGTAAATTAGAATTTTGTGTATTATTTACTATAACTTAAACGCAACTTCAATGTTCGTAAGTTTTATATTTTTACATAAGTTGTTGTGACATTGAGATGGCGTTACAGTATGGAATCAGATCAGGCTCGAGCGATTGTGTTTCATCCGATAACAAGCTGACCTCGTCTAATCTCACTCTAAATGTAATTTGAGTCGATACGCAAAATTCAATTCCAGGCTCTTAATTGCATATTTTCCTTATAAAACAGAAATTAATACAATACTTTTATTACTGTTTAGTAGGAGTATTACGCAAAACTAAAATGAGTGAAATAATAAGAAAATAAGAATATATTTAGAGTTATAGCCATTTGTTTTAAATTTGTTTACATTTGTTATTAAAAAAATTAAAAGAATTGTATATGATTGTAATTCTTCTTTCTATGTGCAGTAAATTTTTCTTTGGAATGCACTCCCTGCCGAAATCAGGATGTCCAGAAACCCGCTTACATTCAAGACACAAGTACTGAGCTTCTTCGGAATGAATTAGCAGAGCGGCAGCGGTCACTATGCTAGCACTCAACTATGTATTTTTATATGATACCAGCAATCTGCCCCGGCTTAGCACGGTTGCAGTGTAGATACTACTAACACTATTAATATGGTGTCAGTGTGGAGTAATTAATTATGCTATAATTATGATAGGACTATAGTATTTATAGGCCCGCTCCGATCCTGCCGGCCGCTGCCAGATTTGTATGAAAATGTTAAAATATAAAATCTTTGGTTATTTTTTATTACACATGAGAAAGGTAGCGTATTCAAACAAATTTTTGATACTCTATAGTCTGTCCATCTTGGGAATTAATCCTCGAAGATCTTTACTTAGAATTTGAACCTTTTACCTAACTTTTACAGTCACAGTTTAGAAATTACATTCTTCTTAACTTAAGCCTATTAAAAGTAATTAGTGACAAAGAAAGATTGAGAGTTTTTTACAGCATGTCAGTTAGACTTTAGAGGCGATTGCCAGTAAAATAGACAATTTTAAATATGTAATTACAGGTACTCAGAATCTAATTATAATTTCTCAGATTTTTATATGACATGAATAATTAGTAAACGCAATATACAAAAATACAAATATTCTACTTAATTATTAATAATCTTATAGCAAACTGAGACTTATTTCTTCTTCCTTTACTTATTTAGTAGATTCTTATATATTAGAGCTCATACTATAGCATTATGAAACAAAGACCTAAGTTCCAAGTTATTATTTTACTCTTTTACTTGAGCTGTAAGAAGTAAGCGACATATAACAGTATATATGCGTTTCCTTACTAAGATTCATTACAAGTAGTTGCTCTAAACTTTCCGTATTAACCTGGATTCGGGTTAATGTTATTAATTAATTACGCCTCTTATCTCAACTACAGTAGCTTGTTCTCTTATTCAATATTACTCGTAACTATGTGTTATCGTTAACTTTAAAGTCAGGTGCTTTCTTTTATTGAAATGAACTTATTGAACTATTGATTTATGGTATCTAACAGTATTTTCCATAATTTCATAAAGTCATTTATCATATCACTAAGATATATAAACGACCTTAGCGAATAAATATTTTATTTTGTAATGTAATTTTTTTTAGATATTATATTAAGCATATTATAGAAATACCAATCTCGTCTAATTGTATATTTATATCTACTACTAATACTCGAGAATAAGTTGACGAACTTGGTTAAATTCTTTTTCGTTAAGACACAAGGAAGGTTCTCGTAGAGAGAAAAACGTAAAAAAATTCCATACAAATCACAGAGTAAAATAAAACACCTATCCCTAGCTGTCAAACATTTGAAGTGAATTAAAACAAATCAAAGGCGCGTTAGTTAGGTTTGTTTTTGGTATGCTTTCAAGTTGATTAAGCTGTACGAATATTAATGTATGATTGCCTAAAATAAAAGTTGGAATATAAGTGATCACTCTGAAATGCGTTTTATTTATTTCTTTTTTCTATTAGTCTTAGACAGGCCAATAATAACTTTTGACAGAACGGAGTCTGTCTCGACAGCTAGTCTTAAAGTAAAAATAGAAAAGTCACCCTGATTCTAGAGTTGATTCTCAAGTGTATTTTAAAATGAATGTATATGACGGAGGACTAATGTCTGGGTTATTTTTAAATAGAGTGACGTCAACAAAGCTGACATTACTTTTTACATTGTCGTGGTTTTCCTTTATAATAGCTGTAGTAAATAACAACAACAACAGTAAATACAATAAAAGATGTATACCTAGTTCTTACCAACAGTCGTACATAGATCTGCACATCTGGACGGCTCGAACAAGAATGATCTGCGCGCTCTGGTCTTCACACCGTGCCGTAGGGGACCGTGGCTGGATCGGGGCTTTAGCCCCCTTCAGTAGGTTTCAAAATGTTAGTGAAAAATTTGTGGGCATAAACTGCCGGTAAATTTTTCAAGTACCCCTTGAAAAATTTGACAGAGCAGGGCGCCTACACCACCCAGTCCATTAGGGCAGTAATGCCTTTGGCGGCGGTGTTGTGTTGTTGGTTTTATGGCGGCCATCATTTCTTGGAAAATTTCGATCGTGAACAGGATAATGCCTTTTATGCTTTGTTGTCTTCATTTGCCTGCAGGGCGATCGTCCGCCTGTAAGTGCTTTCGCTAGAGGTCAGATTGGTCTTCGAAGCACCGCACACACCTGTCTGCGGTGGCAGTGGTGGCTAGAATGCCTGAACTGTTGGCTGCGGTGGCATTGTGCGGGCCTCTTCTGCCCACGCCTGCCTACAATTTTTACACCGGAGATTCCTAGCATTTTTTCTACTTCGTATATCCCCGATGTCAAATTTGGTGTCCTCTTCATTATGGCGAGCAGAATACACCCGGGTCGGTCGCCACGACCCCGTATGTTACGCACATACTCGGGGTCGTGGCTTAAGTCTTGTAACTCCTGCTTCACCTCTTCCGGCGTCGCGTTACTGGGCAGGCTGCGAATGGCCATCTTCACGTTCCGTTCCCCCGGGAGGGAGTAGGAGAACCAGGAAATACCCTCGTTCTTCTCCAGCACCGTGAGGTAGTGATGGACGAGTCAGCACTCTGGGGCGGGAAGCGAGACAACAGGTTCCGAGCAGTGAGCAACGATCTTCGGAGGTCCTTGGAAGTCTTCGGGCGCTGCGGAGATGTTGCTTCGACGGCGTACGGGCGAATCCCACTGTCGTCCATTTTTATAGTAAACGACGACTCACGTGGTGTTTTAGGTTAAGTATTGAATTATTATTAATTAATTTTAATTAGACTCGTTTCGCAACAAATATGAGAAACTTTCACTCACTGATTTATTCTAAAACAGTAGTCAAATTCATACAAAAATTTAGGCTATAGCAACTAGTATTATTAACAATAAACCCCAGCACTCGACGACACACAGTGCCGTAATAACATTAATACGATAAAACTGAGCGTGATCTTAACTTTATACACAAAAAGACGTTGGAGACAAAAATAAATTTGACAACCCACTTAACATGGAATATGTCAAGCCGCCACGCACCACAGGTATATAAATAATAAGATAGTGAATAAATTATTACAACTCGTAATTATTATACATATAGATAGAGGAGACTGTAATATAACACACTATGTACGGTGAAAAGCACATATTACATTTTCACAACGGCTGACGCTGCGCCGAGCTGATTTACCTAATGTGCAAATTACGCAAGTTAATAAAATTAGTGTTCATTTACCAGTCATATAGAGCGGTTTTATTTTAACACTCATAACTCAGCATACATATCAATTATTGTCATTTATTATCATTTTCTATCATACATCTGTATGAGGAACCACGGTAACCCTTACACACTATTATTAGTAGACTATGACCAACTTAATGTTCTTCTAAGTTTTTTGGAACAATACCCATGCGCAGTACTCGGGCCGCGTACACACACACACTCACGTACTCACTCGCACTCTAACCTCTTCTCGATGGCTTCTCCGCGTTCCTTGGCATCCTCGAGTCGTTACCGAAGAAGAAATTGTCGAAGATGGTCCCAGACTTGACTTGCCATAAGTCCACACCGACTACGCAGAGCTCTTCGCGCTTGTATAGGTTTGCATCATGGGTGTATTCAGGGTTGGCAGTCTCTGGGTGAACCCATGGGCCCTTGTAATCGGGGTTGCCAATCTGCTTAGGCGCCCAGACACCCTTGTAGTCAGGGTTGTCGATCATAAGAGGTTCCCATTTACCATCCATCTCATCGTCCCAGTCCTCAGGCTTAGCCGCATCTGGGACAGGATCCTTGATCTTCTTGGGCGAGAGGAAGTCCCAGTCGGCCTCACATTCACCAGACTCCACCTTTTCATTATCAATGAGCACTTCATAGCTGTTGTCGAGTTTGACGACCAGGGTGTACAAGTGAGTGTATACGTCATCCTCGCAATGGATGTCTTTCTTGATCAGGTGGTTCTTGCCCTTGTAGCTGAAGATTACATGCACCTTCTTAGTGCCAGGTCCGCAAATGTCGGGACCAAACATGATTTCGGAGGGATTCTCGCCATGCATGTCCTTCTGGTCTAACTTGCAGTCGAAGATCTTGACGTATCTACCTCCGCAGTCAATGTCTTGTTCATGTTTTACGGTGAACTGAACCTCTAAGAGTTCGCCTACGTTGCTGAAAGGCTTGAACCTGCGTGATAGGGCGTAGAACCGGGCGTCTTCAGACCTTTATCTTCATTAGGGTCGTTAACTTCCAGCAGTCAACTTGAATTTGCCAAATTCTTTACCAGGATGTTCACTGTATACCCATTAATTTTCCCAAGAGTCATCGAGGAGTTTCTCCTCGAAGAACACTTCACAATTTATTGATGCTAATGCCAATAAACTGAAAACAGCTAACACAAGGGAATTCATTTTTTTTTATTCACACAACCACCTCCGTTCGCAACGGACTGGCCACGAATGAAATTATGATAACTTATAATAAATTATTGCCTAAAACTTTTTCTTGGCATTGGCTCAATTTAAGTAGTTGCGCCGATATACATTATTATTAATAATAATAATTCAAACTTGTCACAACGATTTCGGTAGCATTTGTATATCCTACATTAATGTAGGCTGCTCGTTTGTGAGTGCTCCTCAGAGTAGTAGAGAGAGAGTATTCAGCGCTAGCTTGTCGTCCGATTGATTGAAGAGCGTCGGAGTGGGAAGATGGTCCATGGTGGGTAGAAAAACCGAGATGAGCCACTGACTCGATCGCGGCCTACAGGTTTATCGTGTTGGTAGATGAGGTAGGTAAATGTTTATGAAGGTCTTCTCTGCCCGAGTCATCCGACATCGCCCGATTTGTGTTTGACAACTAGTCTTGTTATTCGGCTGAGGGTTATGAAAAATTTTAACTTAAATGATCCAACAACCTCACAGCAAAACCACGGGGGGATGGAGTAGGGGGTTTCCATACGCAAAAAAAGAAAAGAAAGGACGCTACAACTATTATGCCTAACTAAGTATGTAATAGTTTAGTAGACATAAAAAATATACGTTTTATTAATAACATTACGTTTCCAACCAACAACATGGGTAATCTTGAAGAACATCATATTGTAGTAAGAGCAATACTAGTTGAGATGTAATTTTCTACAATTTACCCTCCGACTGAGTTGTAGTGGGTATTCATTGTGGTAAGTTTATTTTAATATAGAATACTATAAAAACATATTATATGCTGTAAGAAAATAAATAAAGTCATATATTGGCAGCACGGACTATCTGTACGGGCCGGCGTGACAATGTCGTATTTCACTAGCCGTACTGCCGAACTACGATAAAAGGCTTAAAAGATGTCTAGTTATTTGGACATCTTTATACGAGCATGAAAACTGATGGTCTTTTGCTTATATTTACTTAATTTATTAGTTGACCGTGTGATTAAAAAAAGTACAAGTTTTATCGGCCTAACAAATAATTTGCGGTGACTATAAACATTTCATCATCATCGTGCTAATTGTACCATGCTAACTTTGTGATCAATACAGTTCCATTACATAATCCGAGCTACTGTTGGATGAGACAAATTTGGCTGCTCCGTTGGCATTTCATTATTTTAAATTTCAACAAAATATTTTACGAGTATGCTAATCCCAATTATTCTTTTTAAATAAATATTACATCTTAAAATTTGTTTTTTTTTTTTAATTGGAACCTGTACCTTCTAGGTTAAAACCTCCTTTCAAAGGCCTATTCTGTGCCTATCTCCGGCAGTGGACTATTAAAGGCTGTTGATGAAAAATTCCACCTTTAAAAATAGCTCATTGACCTTAATTTGACCACCGTTAAGTATTATAAGTTACTCGACGGGCCTGTTTGTCTAGTGGTTAGTGACCCTGACTTCTAAACCGGAGGCCGTGGGTTCGATTCCCACCCAGGACAAATATTGTGTGATAAGCACGGTCATTTGTTCTGTGTCTGGGTGTAATTTATCTAAAATATGTACGTATTTAGAAATATATAAGTATGTTTATCAGTAGTCGGGTTACCATAGTACAGGCTCTGCCTAGTTTGGGATGAGACGGCCGTGTGTGAGATGTGTGATATATATATATTACATAATTTCATTATGTAATAAGTCGTAACAGTAGATTTTTTCTTTGTAATTTATGAAAATCGAGCTAAATCTATGTAGAACTGATTTTAATTTCAAATTAATATTCAATGTTTATTCCGTTGTGAACATATTCGTAACAACTTCTTATATGAGAGACATTAAAGACGAAACTGTAGCCAAATAATTTCGGTAATAAATATGTTTTACTAGAAGTTTCGGGCTATTCAAGTTTTTGAGTATAAACAGCCATTTTCTATGATTTTTTTTTAAAGTAGTAGATTTTTTTGCATGGATGAAAATATCGTGTTAAGGCTATACTAAATATTAACTCCGTTTTATTGATAGTCATGCTAAACTTGACAAGAAAATTCCAGTTACTTTATTAGTGTTCCGATCAAAACGTATCATAGTACTTTGGTCTTATTTATTCCTTCATTATACGAGTATTTTCATAGGATTATGAACAAAGGAGTTTTACCACTTCCACATATTCCAGACGCAACTGTAAAATGAAATGTAATGTTATACATATAAACATTTTGTTGTATCAAGGATAGGAATAAATAAGAACAATAATGACAGTAAACGATTTGAATAATAATTATTAATAATTATTCAAAGCATTTACTGTCAGAACAATTCATTAAGCTACTGTTCCCTAATTATACTTCTTAAATTAATTCACATAACAGCCACTTCAAAGTCATCCCACTGAAGAGACTTACCATTTAGCAAAAACCTTAACTAATGATGAAACTTGTGAGACAGAATTTTTTTTATTTCTTTATAAATGCCTTCAGAAATACACGTTTCTGATGAAAAAATCTCTAATAATACTTCTACATCCTCCGTAATATTAGTTTAGTAAGAAGTCTGACCTCATCTCCACTATTTCTACAAAGAGCGGGCTTTTGCCGCTTTCCTTGCCGCTTAATTTACTACATTTATTATTTTGGTTAATATACTATTTTTTTTATTTCTATACTCGTACCACGTATCCTTTTGAAACATTAATTCTGACTTTGTCTTTAATTGAGTAATTATGTAATCTTGAGTATTGTTGTAAGGCAACTGAAATAAATAATCAAACTTACCAGAGCTTGGTAAACTCATCATGGCTCCTACTTTGTGTAATCTTTTAATTAGCGAAAAATAAAAGATATTTACTCCATGAGTTCGTATTCTAATTGATAAAAGAACAATGGCGGGTCTCCATACAAAAAAATATTTGGAATCAAAAGGCATCGTCTTGTAGTGTAAACATATTTACAAAATCGGCTAGTTTTTTAGAATCTATGTGTAACTCGATTTTTGTTTAGGAATGGCTAGGAAAAAAGATATTACAGCATTTGAGATTTTTAGTTACGCACTGCATTTTTTTATCTGTAAATTCTTTTTAAAAGAGTCCTCAGTCCCAGTCTTTTATAACATAGCTGCATAATGTTTCCTTTATTTTCTCAATTTGTCTAGGGCTATCGACTTTTTAAATTGGTTTTTGAATTGTTTTACGTCATCATTTGATAATTATAACTGTATGTGTGCCATTTAAATAAAATAAAAAAGATAATAAAGAATTATTATTGTCCACTAGTTGTAGAACCTTCGTAGGCTATATTTTAATGTCACTTTTAATGTGTCTAATGCATGAAATAATCATCTTATACTTATGTACATCTGCATATATAATATTCAATAAGTATATTCCTTTTCCTTAATTTATTACCTATTTCAACATGTAACCAATTGCAAATTCTAAACCAATACTCATATAATCGGCGGCGGCCATACGCCGCCACTAGCGTCAGACGTTGTCTTTATATTTAAATACAGAGCGCAAACTTTTGTCAAGAGTTGTCAAAAAACCTTAATTTTTTTAGCTTGCAGTTGCCACTTCATTTTTTAATGCCTTATCTTCCACTACAGGGTTTTCGAATAAGTAAATAATGCGTTTAATAATTTATTTCTTAGAATTATAAAATTATTATCTGATAACCAAATTACCATTACCTGATTACCATATTACGACAATTTATAGGACAGTATTTGATAAAAAATGCTGTAAAATGGTAACACTGAACTGATAAAGGAAATTAAAAAAAAAACCGGTCAGGTACGAGTCGAACCCCTTTATTTGTGCTGTAAGTTTCTTTTTGCCAAATTTCGCGATTCTAGGTCAACGGGAACTACCATTTAGGTTTTCGACCCAAAACCTATAGGGTACTTCCGGTTGACCTAAAATTGTCAATTTTGGCTAAAAGCAAGGTCTTATAGCACAAGTAAAGAGAACATTCTGAAAAATAAAAAGTTGAAAATTAAGGTAAATTTTGGTACTTACAAGTTTTCGCGAAAATCGAAATTTGCCCATATCTTTTTATCGTGTTGATTCAGGACCTTGATTTTGATACACCTAAGTATCTAGTATAAATTTCAACTTGCTAGGTCAACCCGTTAGTAATAAACTTATATAACAGATATAGTATATGATTTGTAATACTAGATTTGTGTACGGGTATTAACGGGGATCATGTTGTGGATATTAACATAGATTCTTATTACTATCGCCGTGATCGCGTAATGGCCGTATATATACATATTCAATAAACAAATAAATAATTGGAAATTATTTATTTAATTTTGCATGACTGGCTTTTTTCAATCAATCGCGTATTTGGATTATGATGTGATATATTTTAGTGGGTAAGTTAACGTTAACGTCCGGAGAGCCCTAATTATTGAACAAAATTATGTTAGTTCTGTTATGTAACGTTATCTTTGTTAAACTGCAAGGTTGTCGTTAGAACTTGATCTTTTAATAGAAGCAGTGCCAGTTGAAATATTATAGACCGGTTGCCGATTATACATGGATTTGCTTTAGTATACGGTAGTAACTGCTCCGGTTATGTAAACAGGTGGTAAAACACTAATTGTCAAGATTTAGAAAGTGTTAATGTTGCATAGAAAAGGTATTGTTTTAGTACACTTCTAATTCCTTTCACAAATATTAAATATACTTATTCTTATTGCTTAAAACTTTATTTTGACACAATTGAATTGCAATGTGTCGAAAAGAAAAACCACACAACGGATATTCCATTGTGTCGAAAACGAAAAAAAGTGATCCAAATTGATATTTGGTTCACTTTTACAATATTTACACACAATATGAATAAATGCCAAGTGAAGTTAAGATATAACGATTAGAAAAAAACTTGGGTACTTTTTTTACTTTAGAAAAAGTATTAGTACAAAATGTATGTCCAGCAGTGGCATTTTCAAGGCTGACTATTAAATTAGTACAAAATATATAGTCGGACTACAATGATTTACTTGCTTGTACCTTTGATCAAAACAAACTTTTTATACGCTAATCAGTAATATTCTACAGCCTTTAACTAAATCCAAAGGTCGGATTCCGCACAATAGCCTTTTATTTATAGCGTTTTAGGTGATTGGATTTTCAGATAATTATTCTGTAATGTCCACGCAGATAGAAATACGATTGTTTATAGCGGTTTCAGCCCGATAAGTAAGAGAGATTAAGCTATTTATTTGGTTTAGTATGATTAGAATATTCAATCGGCCAAGATTCAATTATGCTTTTTAAGGTTCATCGTAAATATACAGAGATCGTATCTTTAAAATGTAATTGGACCTATTAGATCCTTTTTATCACATTTCTGTAATTTTGATTTTACAGCAAGTTAAATTTTAGCCTTAATTCAGTTTTCATCGTTTATATATATCAAGTTAAGTTTTTTTGTCAATTTTGTTTGTTATTACTGTATTCTTCTAACATTAAGGTAATAAGGAGGGTACTATTATTTTGTAGATATTATTCCTTTATATAAAAGCAAAAATCTCCATTTTATACCTTAAGATTCTTTTTTATCAATGATTTATTCGACAATTATATGGTATGTTCAGATATACATATTGTTTATCGTAACAAAATCATTCTTAGTAAAAACTATCTGAGTACTACTAGTTTAGAAGTTATAAAATACATTAAAAACTGAAAGTTTTAGAAACTAAAATATTTATCTATTTCACTTTCAATACATCGAATAAATAAA